AATTTTTTTTAGTAAATAAATATATACTCAATAAAAATTATATTAAAAAAATTAATTATTATTTTATATAAATTATTAAATTTTTATTTAAAATTCATGTCTCTTAGCAGTAAACTCGAAGGAATGGAGTAATGTTTCTTGTGCTCACAACAAACGAGCATGCTATTGTAATTTTCTTGTACATTTTCCAGGACATTACACGAAACGGAAAACAACGATGGAAAACGCCACATTTCGCGGGTAAAATTCTTTGTGATCGCCTTAATTTGCAGCTTCTGCTGGTACATCTTCCCCGGTTACCTCTTCCAAACTCTTCAGAGCATCTCATGGGTCTGCTGGGCTTTCCCTCATTCCGTTACGGCACACCAAATCGGTTCCGGTAGGCACGGACTCGGCATCGGAGCCTTGACCCTCGACTGGGCGACAGTTTCCTCTTTCTTTTACAGTCCCCTCATTTCTCCCTTCTTCGCCATTGTTAACGTCTTCATAGGTTACGCGTTGATTATTTATCTTGTGATGCCGATGGCATATTGGGGATTGAATCTGTATGGTGCCAACAGATTTCCGTTTTACTCAGCGAATTTGTTCACTTCGCAAGGTCAGGATTACAACATTTCGCGGATTGTTAATGAAAATTTCGAGCTGGATAAGGGGGCGTATGCAGCAATAGGAAGGGTCCATTTGAGCACCTTCTTCGCCCTCGCATATGGGTTCGGGTTCGCCTCCATCGCAGCTACCCTCACTCATGTGGCATTGTTTCATGGAAGGTAATGCAATGGATTATGCATTATTTGAGAAAGTCTGAAAGGTGTTTGTGGAATTGTCTCAGAGAGTTCTGACAGAGTACATCAATTACAGGGAAATTTACCAGAGATTTCGAGCCTCTTCTAAGGGAAAAGCGGATGTACACACAAGGCTGATGAGAAAATACAAGGACATTCCTTCATGGTGGTTTTACTTGCTTCTTGCTGTCACAATTGCTGTATCTCTTGCGCTCTGCATATTCCGGAAAAGGGAAGTGCAGCTGCCCTGGTGGGGGCTTATTTTTGCTGCTGCATTGGCCTTCGTTTTCACACTTCCTATCAGCATTATAACAGCCACGACAAATCAAGTAAGCAGCTTTCATTTCTTGGAGTTGTTAATTAAGCATATTTTGTTTTCAAGTTTCAGGGTCAGATTAAGATCAATGCTTTTCTCCTTACAGACACCAGGGCTAAATATAATCACAGAGTATATAATGGGAGTAATATTGCCTGGAAGACCTATTGCCAATGTCTGTTTCAAAGTATATGGATACATGAGCATGGCTCAGGCAGTTGCCTTTCTTAGTGATTTCAAGTTGGGTCACTACATGAAGATCCCTCCAAGGTCCATGTTCCTAGTTCAGGTATAACAGTTGTTAGCACTTGTTCTTAATTAAAATGATCCTTATTTTATTTTTCTTGATAAAACTATATATCTGACATGATTGTGCAAGCTCTGCTGTGAAGTGTTCTTGATATGGTATTCAACAGTTGAGATTCCAGTTCTTTCTAAATCTGTTGTTTAATTAATTTTACACAATGTATGTTTCTAGATAATGCGCTTCTGCTTGTGCATAAGTAGATATATTAGTGAATGGAAACCAATTACCAACCTTGGCCTGTTGAGTTGAACTTTTACCGAATAGATTCCTGACAATTAGTACTTCACATCATCTTTCTTGCATTGAAGATCTCCCACATTGTGTTCCTAATGTATTTGGTTTCAGTTCATTGGGACCGTGGTAGCAGGAACCATAAATGTTGGAGTGGCCTGGTGGCTTCTAGATTCTGTTGAAAATATATGCAACTCAAACGGTCCTTGGTCATGCCCTAATGACAGAGTTTTCTTCGATGCATCTGTTATCTGGGGTTTGGTGGGCCCAAGACGGATTTTTGGCTCTCTGGGAGAATACTCTACACTTAATTGGTTCTTCCTGGGAGGCTTGCTTGGACCCTGCATCGTTTGGCTCTTGCACAAGGCATTTCCCAAACAGTCCTGGATTCCCCTCATCAATCTACCAGTACTTCTGAGTGCAACTGCTTACATGCCACCAGCACAATCTTTGAACTACACCTCCTGGATCCTAGTCGGAACAATCTTCAACTTTTTTGTCTTCCGGTACAGGAAGAAATGGTGGGAGAGGTATAACTACGTCTTGTCAGCAGCATTGGATACCGGGGTTGCATTCATGACAGTTCTTATTTACTTCTCACTGAGCATTGAGGACAAAAACTTGCTCTGGTGGGGTTCTAATAATGATGTTTTCCCTGAGCACTGCGATCTAGCATCTTGCGCCACTGCAAAGGGTATATCAGTTGATGGATGTCCTCAATTTTAAGCCTTGTATTTCCTTCTATAGTTCTACTCCATTTATGCTAGCTAGCTTGGACTTGGCTAGAGATTTGAAGTATTTATGTAATATATAGGGTATTTTGTTTTCATTATGGTTCTGAATGGTAATTTCCAAAATGAAAAATCTGGCTTTGATTACTTTTGTAAATTCAGCGCTGGGACCTGCATACCATTAATTGTAATACTAATTAGCTAAGTTTGATCAAGTATTAGTAGTATTTATACTTCAGCATGTCTCCATTCCGTACCCAGAAAATCGAATACAGGCCTCCAGAGTCTAGACACAATTTTGTGTTTGGTAGTTGGAAAAAGTTTCCCTTATCCAGAAAAAATTTTGGGGTATTTGACATTTTCAACTTGAGTGCAAATTTGGCATTGTCATTTTTTTTAAGGCTTTTTTGGGGTTTAACTTAAGGTAGTTATTATAAAACCTCTGTGTAGAATGTACTCTCTCTCATTATATTCAACGTGCCATGGTTCAGTGGTCACTTGCTGCCTCAAAGGACAACCCATGGTTTGTACTCTCAAGTTCTAGGTTTAATATTCCCTACTAACACCTCTAACATACTAACCTCTAATCATTGCCCTTATCAAAAAAAAAAAAAAAAAAAAAAAAGAAGAAAAAGGAAAAAGAAAGAAAGAAGAAGAAGAAAGAAAAGAAAGAAAGAATGTACTCTCATTTTGTGAGAATATGTTGTCTCACTATGTGGCATCTCTGCGGCAGGCACATTTGTGCTAATCTACCCCCGCATGCGGAAACAAAAGAAAAGGATTTTTGATAACAAGATATCCCTTGATTGACAAACACAGTCTTGCTTGTTCTTCTTCTTCTTCTTCTTTTTCGAGTAAACAGTCCTAACTGAAACAGAATTCTCAGCATCCCCGTCAGCATCCCCGCCATCTCCTACCACTCCGTCACTTGCCAAAAAATACAATGTTTTTATTAAAATTCTACACTACATAGCATACCTAATATTTATATGCTATATATAAAAAATAAAAATATTATAATTACAATATTATCTATTATTGTAAGTATATAATATGATGTATATTATTATATAATTAGTTCGTTTCATTTAGAAATTTATTGATAATATTATTATATATATTTATTTATTTAATATGACATTTTATTAATTTAATATTATAATTATAATTATAATTATCATCTTACATACTATTGTAATTATAACAGGCATAATAAAAATGATTTTTACACTATTTTAAAAAATAAATAAATACGTGTCAATATCTAGCATTATGTGACCTAGTGACCATAATCTACATGAAACGTGCTATGACATCCAAGTCCTGATTCTACCGGCAGTTACTACTTCTCCCATCCCTCGCAATTCCCCTTAGTTCAAAAACATAAATAAATAAATAAATACAGGTCAATTTACGTTTTACTTCCCCCGAATACAAAAGAATTATATATCATATTGTAACACGTTTCACAGCTACAGAGAGAGGTTGATATTATCAAGGAAAATATCTGCCAATGGTCAAATATCCTCATTCATGTTAATCACGAATTTGTAGGAGTTAGTTTTTCCCTTTTTTTTTTTTTTTGGGCCATATAGCTGTGATTTGAGAATTGAGCGATTGTATGTTTCTAATTCTATTCCTGTAAGTTAAGTAGGGCAACACTACTTGCTCGTCAAAAACAAAGCAGATTTTTCAAGTTACACTCTCTAATGGATTCCATGGGTATAGAGTACGGTGGCGGCAACCCAGACAAAGACATTGTGGATGAAGACGATGTCTCTCCCATCGAAGAAGTCCGCCTAACCGTGCCCACCACCGATGACTCGACGCTACCGGTATGGACGTTTCGAATGTGGTTTCTGGGGATCCTCTCCTGCGTTCTGCTTTCGTTTCTGGACACTTTCTTTGCTTACCGTACGGAGCCGCTCACTGTCACAATGATCTCTATCCAGGTGGCCACGCTACCCATTGGGAAGTTCATGGCCAAGGTGCTTCCCCAGACCAAGATTCGTATCCCCGGCACCACATGGGAGTTTTCGCTAAACCCTGGCCCCTTTAATGTCAAAGAGCATGTCTTGATTTCGATTTTTGCTAATGCCGGCTCCGCTTTTGGCAGCGGTACGGCTTATGCCATCGGCATTGTGGATATCATTCGGGCGTTCTATCATAGGAAGATCTCTTTCTTTGCTAGCTGGATACTTGTCATCACTACACAGGTTAATTATATATAGTATTATATATTTCCATTATATATACACACATGAGAGTATATATATATATTATCTACACAAAAATTTTACATACTATATAAAATCTCAATTATTTATATTTGTTTTTTTTTTTTATTGTTTTTTTTTCTTTTAATGTTGATGTGTTGTGTGATCGGTGTTTTAGGTTTTGGGGTATGGATGGGCAGGGATTATGAGAAAGTTTGTGGTGGAACCTGCGCATATGTGGTGGCCAAGTAGTCTGGCTCAAGTCTCGCTTTTCGGGTAAAATTTATGAGTTTCTTATTGCTATCATATATAGTTTTTGGTTTAATTGAGTATTATTTTGATTTTATAATTGGAACAATGTTCTTGAACGATCAAAAAAATAATTGGAACAATGCTCTGCCAATTGCTTATATATATAACAACTTTTTCAGTGCATTGCATGAGAAAGACAACAATCGGATGTCCCGAGGGAAATTCTTCTTGATTGCACTCATTTGCAGTTTTGCTTGGTATGTCTTCCCTGGGTACCTCTTCCAAATTCTGACATCCATTTCTTGGGTCTGCTGGGCATTCCCCAAGTCAGTAACTGCCCATCAGATTGGATCAGGCATGGAAGGACTTGGAATTGGATCCTTTGCTCTGGACTGGTCAACCATAGCCTCTTTCCTTGGCAGTCCTCTCATCACCCCTTACTTCGCTATTGTCAACGTTATTGTTGGATACATCTTAACACTATATGTCATCCTTCCCATTGCTTATTATGGACTAAATGTCTACAGTGCCCACAAATTTCCCATCTTTTCTTCAGATTTGTTCAATTCCAAGGGAGAATTATACAATGTTTCAGCCATTGTGAATGACAAGTTTGAAATAGACTTGCCTTCATATGAGCAGCAGGGGCTGATGAACCTCAGTGTGTTCTTCTCACTCACATATGGAATTGGCTTCGCTGCTGTTATATCCACCTTGACTCATGTTGCCTTCTTTAATGGAAAGTGAGTAATCAGAACTATAAAAGCATTTGAATTTATTTGTATTCTACATTGCCTTTGGTTGGCTCAAAATCTAAAATGAATTTTCTAAAAACAGGGAGATACTTAGCCAATTTCAAGCTTCTTACAAAGCAAATAAAGTAGATATCCATACAAAGTTGATGAGAAAGTACAAGGATATACCTTATTGGTGGTTTCATCTTATGCTTGGGGCATCTTTGCTACTATCCCTTGTCTTGTGCATCTTTATGAAAGATCAAGTTCAATTGCCTTGGTGGGGTGTGCTTTTTGCAGCTAGTCTTGCATTAATTTTTACACTTCCTATCAGTATCATAACTGCCACTACAAATCAGGTAACACATTCTTTCATGTCCAAATCATGTTTCTCTCTATTAATTCAAGACCATATATAATCTTTCTCTTGATATTTAAAATCTAAACATATTTTGAATATTACATAATTCTAGTTACTCTTTTAATGATTTGGCATCTTCTTGTTTCTAGACACCCGGACTTAATGTACTCACAGAGTATATCATGGGTATCATACTACCAGGAAGACCAATAGCCAATGTCTGCTTCAAGACTTATGGGTATATAAGTATGGCACAGGCAATTTCTTTCCTAAATGATTTCAAGCTAGGCCATTACATGAAAATTCCACCAAGATCAATGTTTGTAGTACAGGTAGGTATATCCTCTTAAATGCTAACAATTCCTTCACTTTCATATTGGAGCCCCACTTAGAATCACTTCATTTAAAATATCTAATTTCTTCTCTTATTGTTGTATAAAAAAGTTTATAGGAACCATAATAGCTGGAACAGTTAATCTCTCAGTAGCATGGTGGTTGCTGAATACTGTTGACAATATATGCCAACGTGATATGCTTCCTCCCAACAGTCCCTGGCAATGTCCCTATGACCGAGTCTTCTATGATGCATCTGTTCTATGGGGCCTGATTGGACCCAAAAGAATCTTTGGCACTCTTGGAAATTACTCTGCACTCAACTGGTTCTTCCTTGGAGGTGTATTGGGCCCTATTATAGTATGGCTATTGCATAAAGCTTTTCCTAACCAGAAATGGATTGCACTTATCAATCTTCCTGTAGTTTTCGGAGCAACAGCAATGATGCCTCCAGCAACATCTGTGAACTTCAATGGCTGGATTGTTATTGGAATCTTCTTCAATTATTATGTTTTTAAGTACAAAAAGAGTTGGTGGCAAAGATACAACTATGTTCTTTCAGCAGCCCTTGATGCAGGGTTGGCTTTCATGGGAGTGCTTCTATACTTCGCATTGGGCATGAATGGGACAATGGTATCTTGGTGGGGAAATGATGGCGAGCACTGCGATCTCGCTTCATGTCCAACTGCCAAAGGTATAATTGTTGATGGCTGTCCTGTATACTCCTAGATTCATTGGAACAATTCTATCTACAACTTTTTGGGTTTTTGCATTGTTCAATTCAACAGTACATAAGGAATAAACTTGGTTGTAAATCTTGAAGGTATTATTCATCATTTTAGTTTTAATCTGATGCTATAACTCCTATTTTTACATTTCATTTGAATGGAAGAAGAAATCCATGTTTATGAATAATCATGTCTTGTATACTCCAATGTTTTCAGCCCTTTTTTTTTCAGAATGAGTTTCCAGACTGTATAACCGCTTATGTAGCTATAAACTAATGATAAAATTACAATACCACATAATAAGAAAATGATTTAGGAATAAATTTTTTATATTATATTTTAATACAATTTTACATGTTATTTAAATAATTTATTTATTTTTATTTATTTAAAACATATGATAATTAGTGCATCCACTCATTTTATGAAATATAAAAATTGTATAAAATGATGGAATAAAAAAATTGTTCCTATATCATTGCCCTACATAATATTATAAATTTACAATTATGACTTGTTATTATATTGATTTATTTTTATTTAAATATTTATTTATAATATTATATATTTATTTATTTAATGACAAGTTATAATTATAAATTTATAATTTTATATAATATTATACTTATATCATTGTCAATAATAAATTACAAATACAAACCTATGTAACAATTTTATATATTATTAAAGTCCCTGATAAAAATCTTGGCATAGTTGATATTCTACTTCCCCATAAAAGCCACACATACTATACAAATTAAGAAGTAAATCCTATTCCCAATATTTTCCAAAAAGAAAAACCCCCTCCAGAAGTAGATGGGTAGGGGTAGCCTAGTGATCTTGCAAATCTCACAATGTTGATCCTATTTTGCTTTCCATATTTATGCAAATTGTCTTTAAATGTAAGTTTAATTTTCACAGAAAAATCCATTTTAATAGCTTGCCATTCTGCACTAAACTCTTGCTACACAATATAATGTTTTTCAGGGGAAAAAAAAAAGCCCTGCCAAAAAAAATATTTTTGGAGCAAACGCAGTCCTAATTGAAACAGAATTCCAAACGTCCCCGCCATCTCCTTCCACTCCATCACTTGCTAAATTGCCATACAATGCCGTACAATGTTTTAACATAAAAATGCCAACTATATGGGAGTACTCTTTTATAGAAAAAAAAGTGTTTTTATACTATTAACAAAAAGAGAGTAGTGGATACATATCAATTTATATTTTGCTATCAAATAAAAGGAACAGTAAAGTTGGGCTTGCGGGTCCAAATAATTTATCCTCAAGTCTTCAGGCGTTTGAGTTAAATGATTAGAGTTTTGGCTTCTATCAAAACCTTGAAAAAACCCTTCTTTCTTAAATTGTAAACTGTTAAAAAAAAAAATGAATTGTAGTTATTATATAAAATATTTAGAGATTAATCTTTTTTTAATCAAATTTTAAAAAAAATTAAGAAAAAAATATTTTAAAATTATATAATTTTATTAAAAAAATTATAGAAAAAGACTATAACAAACTTATTCTCTTACATAAATATAAGTTATAATCTTAGTTTTTTTAATAAAAGTTTATTAAAATAATATAATTTGAAAATATTTTTACTGTAAATTTTTTAGAGATTTGATAAATAAATAATTCTTTTAAATATTTATTGCATATAGTATTACAAACAAAAATTTAATTAAATTAATATTTTCTAATTTAATAAATTTAAATTTAAATTTAAATTAAATATTCAAATCTCTATAATAATAAGTAATTAACTATCAAATGTACCAACAAAGTTAATTATACATATAGCATTAATTTTCACTTCACAGCTATAGAGAGTTTGGTATTATTATGGAAACGATATCCCAATATGTAGTCAAATATCTTCACTAATGTTTATCGCGAATTTGTAGCTGTTAGTTTCCTTTCTGGCCATATAGCTGTCATCTGAGTGTTTGATTCTTCGTTTGTTTCCCATTTCTGTAAGCTAGGGACAGTATTGCTTACAATACGCACATGAAATTAAGGGTAAGTTTGATATGAGAAATATTTTTAAATTTTTTTTTTTATAAATTTATTTATGCATTTTTATATTTTTAACGTTATAGTAATAATAAATAAATGATAATATTTTAAAATTTTATTTTCTTGATATAATTTTCAAATAATTCAATATTCATCCCACACTTAAAATTTTTTTTTTCTCAATTTTCTTACGTAACTTTTTTTTTAATCAATTTTTCTAATAAAAACTTTCTAATACACTTCACCTCTAACCAAATAATTATGAAATAAAAATAAAATATCATGCGTTATATGTATATAGCTTAGGGCTTAACTCGATTTAAAAAAAAAATAAAATTTTAATATATATTTAAAAATTAAAAATTTAATTTAATATTAATACTTATTAAAATTGATATCTAAATTTA